ATATGCGTCATGTAAACCAGTGACTCAGAAAGCAGCTGCACTCTCCAACTCTTAATTTGCCCAGAATAACCTGGGAATAGCAAAGAGGTTTAGAGAACTGACATTAATAGACGTTAAGCTATTGACCTGGAAAGAGATGGAGGACGTATTAGCAGTGTTGTGTATCATGATTTATAGTTCAGGGTGGCCCAATTCCCTCTGGTAAAGTCAAACCCACTGAGGAGGCGACTCCCTGTTTGAGGGAGGATATCTGCAGTCAAGTACAACATCAGGGTAACTGCTTGAACACAACACTCTTCTGAATTGACAGGATTTTACAAAGACGTGAAAGATTTTACTGGATGATAGTAGAAGAAACCCACAAAGCCATTTTTATGTGGAAAAAAAAATGAATGCATAAAAAGTGATGTTAAATGACAGAACGACCAGTCATTTATATGGTTGTCTCATCTCAGTCCTGAACTGCATTTCCAGGGTTAAGCTTTGATGCCTTCCTGCAGCCTATTTATTCATCAAAACATGAAACGATTCTTTGTGCCCTTATGACCGCTTCACTTCCTGACACTGCATTGAAGAGAGCAACACATTTGAAATAATGAGGCAGCAATGAAACAAACAAAATGTGCAAGCTGTACAATAAAATGTCATAACATGAAATTCAGCATTCCTATGGCTGCAATTATCCCTTTTTGTATTTTTAACTATTTTAAGACCTGTTTATTCTCTATTTATTTATTGCCTATTTATCCATTTTATAGCTATTTTTATGAAAAGCTTTATATTTAGTGAGAGTTATGTTAACCTGGGTTATACAAACATGTTCTAAATGAATAATATTTATGATTAAAATCCTATCCACGTTGACACTTTGTCCTCTTTTTACTTACCATGTCTTATTTCAAAGTAGAGGAGAAGTCTGATATGCAACGTTCACAGTCGTGTTGAAAATGGAGGCTTGTGAAGAGGGGAGTGGCTTCTTCTACGTTTTGACTTCAACCCAACCGATTGGGTAAAAAAATCTACCCAACCTCTGACCCAACAGAATTATTCAAGCATCTCGACAGAACTAACAGAAATCAAACTGTTTGTCGATTTGTATTTATGTTCCAAACATAAGTTTGCTCAGCTTCATTTTAAGTCATATTTAATAGATATACCTGATAATAAATGATGGTGCTACCAATATTTTGTGACAGATTTCTGCTTGTCCTACAATGAAATAGAATGGTTTTCAGGACATAACACAATGCATCACATAGCGACTAACAAGCGCTGTCCAATCCAGTAATACATATCAATTAGCAGCAGTATGAAAGACGTAAAAATAATTAACTGTGCTACATTAAGAAATTATATTTAATCCTCAGTGCAGCATGAAGCTCACTTTAAAATAATGCAAGTTAAAAACAATATTTTGCAACAAGTGAATCAAGTCCAATGTTAGGTCTGTGTAAGCTAAATGTGAGAATGATACACATTTAGCTTACATGTGGCAGCACACAATATATATGCTACCACCCCTGAACGATCCTTGCCCCCCTCTTGCCGCCCCATAGATATTTTTCTAGAGCCGCCCCTGAATATGACCAACAAAAAAGCCTGAAATCAGCTACCAAATGGATATAAAAATACTTACATACACAAATTAAAGTGCGATGGTGCAACAGAAAATTAGTATTACAAGATGTTAGAAAGAGTTTCCTCATCATGTCTCATTTTAACACAGGCATTATGTGCAAAAAGAATCTTGTTTGATATTTTTAAAAGGAAATCTTTTTAAAAATGCTCAAAACCAAAATATGTCACATAAAAAACCTGCTAACAGCAAAAGCTTGAGCAAGCTTCTTAATGATCTGCAACTTTGTTTATTTTCTTCCATCTGTCACTGACGTCTCCAGTGATGTAATGACTCAGCGTTTTGATTTTTAGCTTTCACTTCCGCCCCGCCTCTCTCCGCAGCGCCATTTTTATAGCTTTAGCAACAAAGCGGAGGATGCAGCGTGATGACCACCTTCATCTCCCGCTTCCACTGATTCATTTAATGCTTTCGAGTTAGCAGATGGGACGAGCTGCAGCTCGCCAGCTTCTCTATGTTTCTGAGTAGCTGTCGCATCCTTGCGCCTCCAGTCAATTGCTGACAAAGTGGTCAGGAATCATTTTTCCTGTTTCATACATCTCGGTGGCCCTGAACCTCACGCCAAGCTTCAAGTTATTTATTTATTTATTTATTTTTTGGGAAGCAGTCAGTGCTTCAGAAAGTTTGGGGAGGGGTGCTCGCCATGGCTGATGGCTCATTCTTTCACATGAAGCTCCTTGGAGCCTTCGTAGATTCAGGACTGAGCGCAGCAGGATGTGGATGCCTTCAGTTCTCTGCGTCCATGCACTAACTATGAAACGGCACTTAACAAGTGAAACTAACACCCGCCGCACTTCTTCCAATTGGTCCTCTGAAGGATTCCACTCAAATGATGCGGCGAGTCAATTTGACAAACATGAAAGGTAGAGCTAACAAGTGCAAGCTCCTGATAAAGAAAGCCTTCAGTGAGACACCGGGGCGGAGTGAAGGAATGGGGAAGTGGTTCTAAAGAACTCAGTCAACCATAAAATGCCGAACATTTACACAAGAGAGATGGCAGGAGTCCGTATTAGCAGCCCTGAAAAAGAAGATTATCACCAGGGAGTTGCATTCTCTAATACCACAATTTCATCATGTGTAGCAAAATAGAATATCCATCACTTCCTTGTTAGCTCGTAGGGTTTTCATGCAGTCGTCCCGACTGAATAAATGAGTTTTTTTTTACTTTTGATCTCATATACAGTTGTCTGCTATTTTGCATTGCGAGCTATATTACAGTTATCAAGGGACTTTTGTACATCCTGTCTCAGCTACCTCATTCAACATGGCGGGAATAACTCCTTTTATTAGATTTCAGGAGAAATGCCTGATCCTCGGAGCAGCCTAGAAAAGAAATTAGCCTGGATTTTACTGGCTCCGACACAAAAGGGAGCAGATTGAAAAGAAGTGAGATGATTGAACTCCCCTTTATTCTGTGGCGTGTCCTTTGTGCCAGACTGCACTGTCACTTTGATGCTATCTCTGTCATTTGAGCCTCATGCCGCGCCTTGGGTGCCTCGCACAAAGGATTATGATGCACCAGCAGAGGCCTTGAATGGGTCTTGAGTAGAATTTTCCTTTTGACTCACTTCAAGTGTCACTCGTTATCAAAGTACATCGCTGAAGGGAAAAAAACTTGGTAATATATGTAATACTGAAACCGAATAAGCCGGCCAATTGAATTTCAATCAGTGAAAATGAACTGGCCCTTTAAGGAACACGGAGACAGATTATTTTATTGCTGTAAAATACGTTATTTGTTTCTTGGCAACGTCCCTGGATAATTCTACATTATTATGCCATCAAAGACATCCAAGTCAGTTTTTAACACGGGAGTGAACAAAAATCCAATACCTTCAAATGGCTGGAAAAAGGTTGACTGTCAGTTTTATTCCTGTGAAGGGATAGAGCGATAATGGGCAGAGCAGTTGAACCCTGCTTACAGGGCAGAATGGGAGGAAGACGGAGGAGGTGGAAATGGAGGAGGATGAGCAGCATCTTGCAAGGCTGCCATTACTGGAGTAATTTGCACACCAGGGAGCAACAGAGAGACCTTTGAGTGGGTGGTTAGGACAGTTGATGTCTGATCACTACCTCCATTAGCAGGGAGGCAAAAAAAATGTGCAAGACGTACAAGGACTACTTGTGGAGAAGAGACAGGCCAAGAAAATGTAAAAAAGTATAAAAATCCTCTTCTTAATCATGAAAGGTAACAGAAGAAGAACAGTATGATCAAAGGCTGGTCCAGTAAAAAATTATTTTTGTTCAAAGAGCAAAGTTTGGACCACGAAGCAATTTGCAGAGATATATTCCTTTCAATCTATCAACCTGTGTCAGTGAACATTTTTGAAACGAGTCATGATTATCCTACTAAGCTTTCCATTCCTTAAAGTAAAAAATGAAGTTGGTTGTTAGAAAATAATTTACAGTTTTGAACAATCCAGTCAGTTGTGATCTTGATACAGCAGAAGCACCATCTATTAATTTTTGAAAGCTAATGCTGTCTTGAAACAAAATTCGGGGGAACGCTACAAAAGCTAGCATGTCTGCTGATATAAATATCTCACTATAATAACTGTTCACTAGTATCAAACTACTACTTGTGTGCAGCAACATAGCACCTTTAAATATTGCATAATCCATTAATTTAACAACCCTGTTGCACAATTCTTGGAAAATCCACAGAATTCTGGGTCAATCTGTTTCAAAGAAATTTCATTTCATGCTTTAAATCGAGCTGTGATTGCATTTTAGAGAATTTCTTTGGGGTGCATGGTACATTGAAAGAAGAACTTCCTCTAAAGCCCCTACAGTAATGAATGAGGAATAGGATGGCCATGCCGGGTCGGTGCTCTGAGAATTAGGAACAGAACGTCTGCAGAGGGATGAGGAGACAGTTGTTCTGATGGATTCTCCTGTCTAAAAGAGGAGCACTATTCCCAGTGTTCCTCCCGCTGATTGATTTATACGACTGCTGTAGGACGGAGTAAAGAGCCAAGCAAAGAAGCTCTATCTCTGCTGGGTGAGGTCTTATTGCTCCCCCGGCTGTGAAGCTTACTGAATCCTAGTTGAAGAGAAATAGTCAATTAACGGCGACTACAAAAGCAGAAAAAAATTAAAAAGAAGAAGAGGCTGCGCCAAAATCTGAAAATATTCCCTCCACTCCCATGGTGTTTTTGAAGCTGTTTTCTATTTTGGGTAATGCAACACATGCAGCATAGTACAGTAAAACAGAAAACAAAATTAGGAAACATTAACAAATTTAATGTGTTAAATCCCAGAAAAAATAAATAAATAAATTGACTTTTGGTTCCATTTTCTTCTTTTTTTTTGTTGCTGTGAATAAAAATGTAAAATGAACTATAGACTAAAATATTGCTCTTACTGATGTGTAGAGATGGCCCTCCCCGTTCATGGCGATGTATAACCCTGTCTTCACTGACTGAATGGCGACAACTCGGAGGCCCACAGGAATAAGGTTAAACAATGCTGCAAAACAGATGCATAAACACAGACATTTAGATAAAAGTGTCACTTGTGTGTTTTTTGTTGTTGTTTTTTTAGATGTTCTGTTGATCTAGCTAAATATTAGCACTATAGTTAGCATTAGGAGGACTGTACAGCCTTACCATAGTTAACGTAAATCTCTGAGTCACTTTTTTATATGGATAAGCACATCTCTAAAACTCATCCAGCATTTTAAATAATTTCTTTTTAGAATTTACAAAGTTCATCTATGAAAAACAAATGCTGTTTGGGGTTTTTTCTGTAAACACTGAATTTAAAGTTTACCTAACTGTTCATTGGTACCTTGTGTGGGTATCAGACCAAAACTGGCTAAATGGTTGTTGCAGCTGGGTTAAAATAGGGCTGCCTTCATCACCAAACCACAGTTGGCTAAGTTTGTGAATCTCCTGTTATGGTAAACTCAAAGAGCCCTAAACGAAGGAGGGAAAAGTTTTGCAATTCTTCCAAGTTCCAATTCAACATCAAAGTTCTAATAATAACACAATTTCTCCCCTGTGAATCCTATCTATAGCTTTCTTCATCTAATCAGATGTGACATGTGCCAAACCCCCTCTTGCTGACAGTGGTAAGTGACACAATGCTGAGTGTCAAGCCAGCGTTAGCACCAGGTCCAGGAATCAAATTAACCACCCAGCCTGAAGCAGCAGAGGAGCAGAGCCATAACAATGTAATAATACCATTTTCCTCTCTGTTAAATCTGCTGTTTCCTGGTCTACTTTGTCCCTCAGAGATAAGGATGAATTGGTGTGATCCCACGGCTGTGCTTTGAGGAGACATTTTTACTCCAAAGGCTAAAAATTGAGGAAGTATATTGAACCAAGGGTTGGAGGAGACTGACGGGGGAGACAGGGGATGTATCATCCCCACACCAGAATGATAAATGTACAACACTGCCACGCTGAACGTCAACGTTGTTGCGCAGGATTGTGCCGAAGGGAGTTTAAAATACTAAAAGTATTAAACAGTTGAGTTATGATTAGCAATGTTCCCTATTCAGTGTTTTTCAAGATTTTTTTCTGTCACCTTTTAAAATTTTTATTCCCAGAGGCAAAAAAGATAGTGCCACAGTACTCACTGGAATTACTGCTGTCATCCTTGGTCCCATCAAGAGAGCCATCTGGGTTCATTTGCAAGTAGTATCCCTGCCTGCAATATAACCTGGTCACTATACCCTTGAGCTGGGGATCTGGAAGAGAAAGAAAAAAGGGTGGGGGGACAGAATAGTCACGGTTTATGCAAAAATAAAACAAAAAATTCTGTGCAACATGGGAAGTTGGTAAAAGTTGATGAGAAATCTTGATGAAAATCAGTCAGAGGCTGCAAAAAGCCTTCGGTTACGTCATAGGTTTAGTTCCGGGGTAAGACGCGGAAGCGTTAGATGCAGCAAAAACGACAATGAAATGGTTCACATTAAAGCATATTCATGCACAGCAACGTTTGAATCAAAGTCCAGATGAAAATCCAGTTGAAACTCTCCAAAAAACAAGAAAAATATAAGTTGTTCATTTATTCTCTCCAACTGATTTGATTAAATCTGAGAAATTGTGCAAAAACCAATGCAGCAGGTAGCGGTCTTGGTAAAATGTACCTGGTGTTGAATCAAGACGAATGTTTCACTATGAACTTATATTTGTAAAATGAAACTTTGCAATCCTGTTTTATCTGGATGCATCAAATAATGACAAAAAATTTATTGAGGTTTGTTCATATAACATAAAATTTACTTGTACTGTACAAGTAAACGTACTTGTGCACTACATTTATGTTTCAGTTTCAGTTTATTGTACAATTACTTCACAGTAAATGAGGACTACAGTATGAGGCTGTGCATAAGTAAATGAGCGATGTACTTTGCTATTTCACAAGATTCTGTACAATGATGATACCTGTTTTTATTTTTTTTTTGCTTCAAACTGCCATAAAAACAGCATGTGGTTCTTCTCCCTCACGCTCTCTCTCTTTCTCTCTTTTCCTGTCTGCTGGCAAATCCCAGAGCTACCTTTACGGGCTCATAAGCCCCATCCTGCTCAGAGATAGACCATCCAATTATAGGCATCAGAATTAATATGTGGCTGTCTGACTCCCATAATGAACCCAACAGCACCCTCTCTGGGATGCAAGAGTGTCTGTTTTCCATCCCTAACCCAACCGGGGGATTACCCACGTATTAACAGTAAATAAACATCTTCCGTCGTTACATTGCTCAGAGTCGCTGCCGCTGCGATGTGTCACGTAATTTTTGGTGGTTTCACAATTTATGTTAAGATATGAATAAGTGGCAGGGGAGTACGAAACAACAAAAAAACAGACGTCTTAATAAAGTGCAGTAAGGTTGTTGCTCGGGAGTTTCTGTGCTGAAAGCCAGGAGGAGACGAATCCGGTGTGGAAATGCATACCTGCATGTGTCTGGCGTTATATATGTTCAACAGAACACTTACTGTAGAGACAGCCATCACACTAGATTTCATTCTAAGAAAGCCCTGGGGAAGTGAAAAAAAATGTAAAAAAATCAACTTCACCATCATCCAAAATGCGAAACCAAATCTCCCAGCAAGCAGCTGTGTATGTGTGTGTGTGTGTGTGTAAGATGTAGAGCTGAAGAAATCCCAAGGGGTCTATCTCAGGGGAAAGTTATGGCTTTTTTGTTACTGTGTAGGTCTGAAATGCGTATGTTAGGTACATATCTCACACATCCCCCTCTGCGCTTCCTGAGCTGAGATGGTACAGGATACAACCGTGACGCTTCAGCTGAACAATGACAATGTGTTCAAAGGAGAACATGTCTGAGCAAATGAAACAGTTTTCATTTTTTTAATTAAATGAAAATCTGGTCTGCGGTTTTATCCACTTCATTTACTCTGATAGCCCTGAATAAAATCCAGAGCAGCTAAAAAGCTAAAACTAGCTAAAATACTAATGATGGCAAATAGCCTACCACTAGCTGGATTACATGTGGGTGCCATGAAAAAAAAAAAAAAAAAAATATATATATATATATATATATATATATATATATATATATTATATATATGTCTCAGTAAAAGTAAAATCTACAGTTTCTGAAATTCAAGAGTTCGTAATCCAAACAAAAACCCCTCGGTCGGTCGCTGGTCGGTTTGCAGTGAGCGGCGCCGAGGACAGTCCTAGCACCAGGGCGGCCGGCAGCAGGGCGGCCTGTCGGGCGGCGGTCGGGGCGTCATATATATATATATATATATATATATATATATATATATATATATATATAATATATATATATATATATATATATATATATATATATATATATATATATATATATATATATATATATGGGTTCTGAGATATCAACATTTGTTTGGAGGCATTGCTTAGCAGACTACAAATATTATGCTACAACATGCAGTACAAAAATAGCAATGTCAAAAGTATCTCCAGGTGTTAAGCAGCATAAAAGCTGCTAAGCTGCCCAACCTCAAAATGGCCACTGCCTTGTTTCCATGACAACCCCAAAACTGAATGATTCACTGCAATTAATAGGCAGGACCTGAAACATCCACTGTGAAACACAGCGGACATTTTATATTGTATTTCTCAATTCTGCCACAGGGTGGAGCGGTTTCCCACATGGGGAGAAAAATCCATAAAAAGCTGAATATTATAAAAAAGTATAAAGGTTATGAATACCAACAGATATAGTTGGCATTAGGAGAGAAAGCTGAACGGTATAAATGTTAAAAATAGCGCAAAGTATGGAGAAGAAGTAGCGCGGTGAAATTTACGGAGCAACCAGAAATTTGGAACACAATAGTGTGAATGCCTGCAGCATTCACACTAATGAAAGTACTTCATGGCATCTAAAAACCTATTCAGCGACATCATAGGGTTTTAAATTGGCCAATCTGTTGCTTGCTGGCATCTTAAAATGTGTCCATCCCAGGTGAGGAGATGGAAAACATCTTAATAGCAAAACAAAGTATCTTCAGGTAATCAGGACGCTAAGCTCCAGATGGAGAGGGAAACAGAGACATGCACTCGTATAACAAGTCCACAGTGAAATTTCTTTTAGGTTCGGCCTGCAATTCTTCACACGGCAGCCTCGTTTCTGCAAGACCCCAGAAAAGTCTGGGGCTACTCCGACATTTCCACATGGATTTTTAATGAGAGTACAATTCCCTCAAGCAGATCTCTTTGCATTGATACACAAAGTTAGCAAACGTGCGATCGATCAGGGACTTTGGCTTTCAAGCAATGCATTTGTGTGTGCGCGTGGATGCGTGTCTGTGAGGGGGCGTAAGATTGATTCTTGAGAGCAATCTGTAATAATTAAAACTGTGTTCATGGTGGCTGGATAGGTGAAGTCTGTGTGTTTGTGTGTGTGAGCGTGGATGTGTGGCTATAGGGCTATAAATCATGCGATACTGGCTGCGGTCCCTGGGGCAGGATAGCCGGTCTATATCTCCCACACACAGATTCCCCCTCCAGGTTTGATCTTTGGAGCTTCAAAAGCAACAAGCAGATTAAGATGAACATCAACATAAATTAGTGGAATACATCAAAACATAAAAACTATGTTGAAAAGGGCACACTTGTAATTTGTAAGATTAATGAATTTTAATCTTACAAATTAAAATTCATTTGTCAATCTACGAACACACCTCTTATTACCTGAGACCTATGTAAAGTTTGGCATTTCTTATTGTTTCCTCCTTTCGCCTCCATTCTTCCCCTTTTCCTTTGTTATTCTTTATCTTCATCATTCTCATCACTTCTCTATCTCCATTTGAAATTATCATCCTTACATTAATGGTCATCTCTCAATCTATTTTCCTCAATCTTTATGACTCATGTCTACCTCCTTAATCCCACATCATAACCTCATTCGTCCCTTACCCAAACTTCTGTCGTTTATTACCCGTCAAACTAGCTTCCCTCATCTTTATCCTCATCCATCGATCCTACCTCCTTGATTGATCATCCATGTCTTTTTCATCCATCATCATTACTGCCCTCATCCCTCTTCTCTACCTCCTTCACCTGTCATTCCTCATTCTAACCCTCATCTCCTTTATCCCTCATCTCAACATCCTCCCTAATTTATAACTCATTTTGTATCCCTACTCTCTTCATCCCTTGTACCTCACCCCCATACCTCCGCCAGTCATTACTCCAAGCTCTTTTATCCCTCATCCCTACATCAATTATTCCTCATCCCTCATCTCCACCTTGTCACGCCTTCATCCTTCATCCTAACCTGCCTCTTTCATTGTCATCCTCCTCCTTCAGTCTTAAACTCTTCCTTCATCCCGTGTTCCCCGTTATAACCTCCCTCACTTAAGCCTTTATCTTTACCTCCTCCGTTTCTCATCCTAACATCCTTTGTCCCTCATCTCTACTTTTGTCCAGCTCTCATCCCCACCTACTAGATTCCTCATGCATCTATGAAGCCACATCCTGCACTTTCTTAAGATGAGTTAGCAAAATTCAGTCCTCTTCAGACATCCAGATTTCCCTTCAATAAATCACTTATCCTTGCATACATGAAATGTGGTTCTCACTTGTGAACTTTCAGATATTTGATGTATAGGTGGAACATCTAAGTTGTATTCCTTAAGCTAAGACAGAATTTGATTTGCCATTTTATTATCTTTTTGTCGTTTTTTTAAGCTTTCCTTACTATTGCACCTTAAAATGTTGACCAACATGGCGAAACAAAAAAGGCTGTGAATTACAGATGGGAGTAAGACATTCCCTAGTTAAATCAAAGTTGATTTTTCTTTTTTTTTTACAACTAAAAAACTACTTCTCTGTTTCTAAGGAAACAGAGTGCCAGTCTGGCATCAGCAGGGGGGTTTCCTTAGAAAACAACGTGCATCAGAAGCACAAGATTTCAAAGTGCTCTGTTGTACAGCCATGGTCCTTTTTACATATAAATTGGCCTGTCACAGAGAGGGTGTGATATTTTTTTCCTCTCCATAAGTGGCCTCTCCATAACTCCCTCGGCGCATTTTCTTGTCTTATTTTCTGTCGTGTCATTCTGGTGTTTGTGCAGCCACACGCGTCAAGCTCGGCTCAAGGCAAGCGGAGCATGAAGGAAGGACTGGCCCACACACAAACACACACACACACACACACACACACACACACACACACACACCGGGCACAGCTGCAGCTGCACTTGTAGTCTGCTGTCAGCCCTGTCCTGTC